TTTTTTTTTTTTTTAGAGATTTTTGCCATAGGGCAAGTGCACTAGCCAAAGAGTAACAGACACAGTTAAGAGGGAAAGTGAGAAATCACCCCCTAAGAGATGGCAATGCCATAATCCCTTCTCTTTCATTCTCCTCCTGGGATCTTGGGCACTGACACATACACACTCAGAGTGAGTTTCGAGCCACCAGTTCCTGGGCTCAAATGTTGGCCATGTGGGAGTCCAACAACGTAACCACTATGCCATCTATTGTCTCCATGAATAGATTTCTTAAAAAGAGGAGAAAGACATTTTTACAGTTGAGTAGGTTCTTTCAACCTCTGTACTTTGACACCGGACCAGGTAGTTCTTTGTAGGGAACGGCTCAGCTGTGGGATGTGTTGCACTAAACTTGTCCTCCATCTACTAGATGCCAGTAGCACCACTTCCTACCAAATTATGACAACCAAAATGTCTCCATACGTTGGCAATTGTCCCCTGGTTTAGAGTCACTGACTTAAAGATGCATAAAGATGAGAACAAAATGAACTAATGTTCTAGTCTATTCTCTATTGTTTAACAACTAAATATCTGAAAGTGGGTGAGTTATAAAAAATAAGGGTTTACATAGCTCGCAGTTTTGGTCTAGCATGACAGCCTTCATGCTAGTGGGGACTCCATCATACAGAGTCCTGAGTTGGTACAGGACGGCACATGGCAAGAGCTTGAGCAGAGCATATGTCTGTGTCTGTGTCTCTATGTCTCATTCCCTCTCCTTATAAACACACCAGAATCAGTCCTGGAGGTACCAAACCAATGCCCTTAACTCCAATCATCTCTCAAAGACTCTACTTCTTCATCCCATAGTTTAATCTTAATACTTTCATAATACAACCAAATTCCAACACATGAACTTTGGGGTAACACATTCAAAACATAGCACATAATGTCTGGAATTTGACTTAAATAATCTAGCAAAAAAAAATATTTTTCTTTTCAGTTGAATGATGAATGCATAGGATTCACAACACTACCCTTTCTACTTCTGTGTATATTCGATTTTTAAAAATCAATCTACTAATAAAACCTGTGCAGTGTTACCCACAGTGTTTCTTTTCAATAACTCCTCTCAAAGTTTCTTCACTGTCTTCCTTGAAAATTCCTTGCAGACATAGTTCCAACCCCTGAAGCAACACTTCTCTGTTATTTCCATAATTGGCTCCTGCACTATGGGGGCTGGCATCACAGGAACAGGCTCGGTCTACTGCACTATTTTACCAATCCATGTTGCAAAAGCTCAGAAGCAGAAAATATAAGCTAGAAACAGAGCTGACATTAGAGATCAATGTAGTGCATATTTAGTTTTCCCAACCCCCAACCAATACTTACAAATAAAGTATTTTGCCCTAGTTTATTTTCCTCATTCTAGAAAGGATTCATGTACTGGGAGAATAAATGAACTTCAGAAGCTGGGGTCTCCCTTCTAACTTAAAGGTTATATAAAACTATAAAACACGTTTTGGTTGGCACCCAACTACTGCTTCTTTCTCAGGAAATCAATGCTATTCACAATGGTTATGCCTCATTGCCACACCCTAGCCTGAAAATCCAGAAATCCCAGGTTTCTAGCTTTCTTGTTGCTATGGTCAAATCACACCAGGTATACTCAGATGCTATCTTACTATTCAAAATTCATACGAATAGAAAGAATATTGAGTTTTCAATTTTTGAAGTTCTTTAAAGGCATTTATATTTTCTGTTTTAGGTCGAAATAAGTAATGAAATTGATTCTGAAATGCGGCTGCTGAACTTGACTTAGGAAGCAAAGCACCGTTGTCAACACCTCTGTGGATCCGCCTCGTCTCCCATTCCTTTCAGAGGTTGGACTGGGCCTCCCTGCTTTCCCACAAATCACCGAGTGCTTCGGTCACAGCCTATGTTTTATTAGCATTGTTCACTAGATGAGTTCTAGGTGCTTGGGTGGGTATTTTTTTAGTCATTTTTCTTCTTATATGAACACTTGTAAATTGTAGAAAGAAAATGATTTTTAATTTTTTCACACTATTTAATGTGAGGCATGCAAAACAAAAAAAGTTCTGTGAAAAACTTCTACAGTCTATTCTAAGAGAAACATCAGTGTGTGTTCTTTTGAGGTGTTAAGTCAGTATTTCTGGCTGCTGAAGTTATTCTAGACCCAATGGATTTACATTCACAGACATTACCTATGGTTATCAGACACAAAGGCTCTGTGATAGCTGATAAATAGGTACAAACAAGATCCCGCTTCCACACTGAATATAGATAGATTTTTCAACAAGACATGGAATCTTCCTTTTCTCTCAACTTCTCAAAACCCAGAACTAAGTTTTTATTTATTTATTTTTTTTTTGGATTCATGTCTGACATCTTTTTCTTCTTATAGTCAGGGGGAAAGTTATATTTATATTACATGGACACATAGAAAAGTGAAATGATCCCTAGAAATCCTCTCCCCTGTGGAGAGCATATGGGTATCCCTGAGATCTGTATTATTTATCCCACTCCTGACACCCAGTGACATCAGACCTAAACACACAACTATGGGCTTATGGGACAGAAACCACAACCATAAATCTGCAAGCAGGAACTTTACTCTTAGGAGATTTGAAAGAGCATTAACATGCTATGAAAGTCTATAAATACTTCTAAAGAAGATATTTATGTTTGAATAAACTAAATATCATCTATATCAACTTTTCTTTTTCTTACTCCATCTCACTAATAAAGAAAGTGATATGGGAAAAATTTATGGGTGAAAAATACAACTGTTGTAAAAATACATCACAGTTGGAACTTTTAGTTTGTGTAATATTTACATATGGTGAAATGCACAGAAATTAAGAGTACAACTGGGGCTTACAGACGATGGTGTGGTGGTTAAAGCACTGAACTTCCACATGGCTGACCAGAGCTTGAGTCCCAGACCCAGTGGCCCGAAAATCACAACAACTAGATAAATAAGTAAATAAATAAATAAATAAATGTTTTCTTAAAAAACATTTTTAAGGAACAACTTGATTCGTTTTGAAAAAAATGTACCATGAAAATGCATCCATGAATCCAGTGCCTCAATCAAATACAGAATCTTTCCATTACTGTAGAAAACTTCCTCATGCTCTTTTTCAACCAGTCCCACATTCCCATACACAACCTCTGTAGTAACTTGCACCATTAATTCTGTCTGTTCTCAATAGAAAGTATGTACTTTTTCACATCACTTTTTTCTATTTCTCTCAGTCACTATTTTCTATATGAAAATAGCTTTTTTTCACTTTGCATAACAGCCAAAGTGAAGCTTCCCATAGATCACAACATTGTGCATACGTGCACTGCTCAGTACCGAAGTCGTTAATTGTCCTTATAGCTCTAAGAAGCTGGTCTATAAACCACCTAAAATTGCTGCAAACTTGTATGTGTATATAAAGGTCATATTTCTTTTCTTTTTTTTTTTTTTTTTTTTGACTCCGCAACTGTGATGATACTGTTAAGAAGCAGAACTAAAGGAAAAATGTTGTCCCTGACTTCTCCAAATTCATGGCAACCATGGTGGGCTTTCTGGGAGCCTGATTTACTTACTAGCCTCTAGATTGTGACCCTTCTGTCCACTGACACCCTCTTCCCCTCAACCTCTCGTCCTCCTGAATAAACCCAAATACAAAATAAAGAGGAGCTAGCAAGTAAAATCCAAACTCCTATTCTGCAATTTAGGGCGTTGAAGCCCAGAGATTTGTCAGACTTGTCCAGAGCCCAGCGTTTACACAGACTGAAAAGGCCTATGGTCAAGGAAAAGGATCATGGCAGGGACAAGTGGGGGTTTTGGCCCCAAGGCCCCACTGTGGCCCTAGTTAGCATTTACCATTTTGGCTCTTGAGTTTTCCTCATTTATGAATTGCAACCATGGTTCCCTACCTCCCACGGGTAAAGCGAAGATTAAATGGAAAAAATACAGAATACTCCTTAAACTGTGAAACACTCCATAATTGAAAGAGACAGTAATTATTAATAATATTAGAATAGTATGTTGAACACTTTCTCAAGTACTTGTCACCTACTCAAGTGCTGAGAAAGCTCAGAAGGACAACAAACTCTTCTGTTTCTTAAAAAGTAGTTCGGGGAGACCAGAAGATGGTTTAACGACTATGTTGCTGGACTCCCATGTAGTCAACTGTGGTTCGAGTCCCAGACCCAGTGGCTTAGATGCACATCGGGCTCGTGTGCATGCGGCCAAAGATCCCAAGAGGAGACTGGAGGAGAAGGGATTACAGCGTGGCCATCCTTTCTAGGCAGGTGGTTTCTTGCTTTCTGTCTCTGTGTCTCTCTCTGTCTTTCTGGCAAGTACACGCGCCCTATAGCAAAAACATCTAAAAAAAAAATAGTTGGAATAATTGACCACGTTTAAGTGATTTGAAACAATGCAGACTAAAAATTGCATTTTTAATTATAAAGTAACTTTATAATTCAAATTCTAAAACAATATTATTCTCAGAATTATTATTTGAAAAAGCCAGTAAAACATCAAACTGTAGAAAATTAGTAAGAAGATAAAATTAATATTTAAAACTGTCCTTTTATTACCCTCACACACACACACACACAAACACACACACACAAATAAAAATGTGGTAACCATTTCACAAAGTAATGCAATAACTTTTATTTCTATGTGTACATACTCCCAAGATGCACTGCAGCATCCTATACCTTTCTAATTACAGATGGTAATTTTGAGAAGGACACATTAGTGAGTTTTCTATGAATACACAATATAGGTAATTATTTAATATGGTGTGTGTGCTTTCATTTTAAGTCTTTCTCCACTTAAATAATGAGATTGTAAGCATTTCAATCCCAACCCTAGCAATCCATGATTATTCCAAAGTTTTGGAAAACTTGTCACTCACTGGAAATAAGTTAGATTGATCTTCCATCTCCTCTTCTGTCTTTCCTTCTTCCAGCTACTCATTTTCTTGGCCTACTCTTTTAGAGGCTCTGCTTGTGTAAAACAAAGGGATAGAGGTAGACCTTGTGCGGTTACTCTCGGCAGTTACTGGTCCATCTGTACAGTTGCAGCAAGGTACTGTCACAGTTGCTGCTGCAAAGGAGTGTTTCCAGGTTTTGCATTGCCTCCCATTCTAGAGAAGCCCTTCTGCACTGTGCACATCCAGTTGGGTCTTCACAGAAGTGGCATTTGCTACATGTATGTTCTTACCGAATAATGACTTCTCTGTATTTGAGTGTGTATCTGTCAGAATAAGGGAACATGAATGCATCTGTTAGCCTGTACTCAATTTGCTGAAATCTTACCATTTTAAGAGATGGTGCACAGCTCTGGTTTCAAGAGCTCTTCTCAGACAGGGTCCTGGTAAAGCTCAATATAGGACATTCGCTGCCCTTTTAGCCTCTAGGGCTGACTGGAATATACAGGAAAAATTTAAAGCCAGTGTGTTTTTATCTTTGAGCCACCTCAGCATTGAGGCTTGTAGGCCATGGCTATCCTTTCTCTAGGCCAGGCCTTCTATCTTGACTGGGATGATTTACCCATTCTTAAGTGACTTCTGCTGACTGTGTATAGTACCACAGGAAGCTAGAATGCATTCCAGGTTACTGTTTTATGTATTTGAGCTTCTAGTCGTATTTCAAAACCAGCAATGGTAAGCAAGGGATTTACAGGAAAGCTTAGAGAATTCCCAGGGCACATAAAATGTCTTGGTGTGTGGAACAGTTCACAGGGGAGAAATCTCAAACATTGCTTAGGAAAATCTCTAAATGAGTGTGTCCCCAAGTGTTTTAACCTTCCACCTGCCATGTAGTGCAAAGGTATGTGTGCCTGAGATAAAAAGCAGGTTCTATACCACTCCAAATCCAGTGTGATTGATTCATTTGTTTGGAAGACAATGCAATCTCATACCCTAGCAAAATATTGACTTCTTTCTTTTTTCCTTCAGAAAAACAGGTCCTGCTATTTCTAGTAGATCAGAGTAAGGGAGGTAGCCAGCTTCAAGAGACTAGGTCTAACAAAACTTGGCAAGACTGTCACCTGCCTCACTTTATGTGTGGGACTCCTGATTGAGAGGAATTTGTCTTCACCAGAACCAGATAAAATGTGCATTGCAAAGCTGAGGAAAACCATCATGATTCTGCTAGCATGAGAAGCAAATTAAAACCAAAATTGCTCTGCTCAATCTTTGCAAATTAGAAAGGAATTTTGCCAAGATTAAACAGATCTTCCTTTTTTTTTTTATTTTTTGGAGAGGGTTTTGCTATACAGTGCATATGCACTTGCCAGAAAGAGAGAGACAGAGAGACAGAAAGCAAGAAATCACCCTGCAGGGAGGATGGCCACGCTGCAATCCCTTCTCCTCCAGTCTCCTCTCAGGATCTTGGGCACGCACGCACACATGCCCGATGTGAGTTTAAGCCACTGGGTCCAGGACCCGACTGTGGTCGACCACATGGGAGTCCAGCGACATAGCCATTACACCAACTGCTGGTCCCAAGGTCTTCCTTTTAAAATTAATTTTAAAAAATAATGCTGTTTCAAAATGCAGACTAACAATACAGTTAATATTCTGATGGATCATTTTTTAAAGCAAACACTCAATTTTTATTTGTGAATTATTTTACTATGTAACTAGGAGAAATTTTAGTTGATTAGAAATCAAACATTCTAACCTGACATTTTAGGTCAAGGTAGTATCTGCTCTCTATCGGGGGTAGCTAAATTAAGAAGGAAAAAAATGCAAATAATTGATCTTTTCAAATTTAGAAACCTTGTGGTGGTGGAATGGTTAAGACATTGGATCCCAGATGGTCGGCTGTGCAGTTCAAGTCCCGGACCCGTCAGCTTGAAAATCACATCAGTTGCACATATGCATATGTATGTATGTATGTGTGTGTGTGTGTGTGTGTGTGCCCAAAATCCAGAAAAGAGAAGGGATTGTGATGTGGCCATCACCCCTGAGAAGTGATTTCTCACTTTCTCTCTCTCTCTCTGGTGAGCATACGTATCCTATAGTAAAAACTAAAAGAAAAAAATAAAGGGAACCAGTAGCGTAATGGCTATGTCGCTGGACTCTCATGTAGTCGACCGTGGTTCGCGCCCTGGACCCGGTGGCTTAGAACTCATGCCGGGCGCGTGTACGTGCGTGCCCAAGATCCCGAGAGGAGAATGGAGGAGAAGGGATTGCGGTGTGACCATCCCCCCTGGGGGGTGATTTCTCGCTTTCTGTCTCTATGTCTCTCCTTGTCTGTCTGGCGAGCACAGGCGCCCTGTAGCGAAAACCTCTCAAAAAAAAAAAAAGAAAAACAAACAAATTTTTAAAGCTTAGAAACCATGAATATCTGTGCTTTTTAAAATTTCCTGTCAATTTAGAGTGATCTGTAATCTTTGATAGTGTTGAAGCTTCCAAGAACCATGCTCAAATATTTGTGATTAATAGGTCCACAACTTGAAGATAGAGAACTCAAAGTAAAACTGATAGAGAAAATTATTTCTTGTAGCTGCCTGGTGTGCAATTCAGAAAGGGAGAAATGTATTTTAACTACCATAATAATGGTTTTTATTTTGAGAAAGAGAGAATTTTGTGCACTCATTTGGAAAGACA